ATAGAGAATAAAGCACAATGTGGCAATTATAGCAAATTAGTAGAGATGCTTGAAGATGGAGATGTAGTCTGGAGAGCAGAAGAGGTTGAAGATGGTCCTGTTCTTATAGCGAGATCAATAGGCCAGCTGTGTATCCAAACTCCACGACATTGAAGAGTCCCATCACCAACTCCGTCTTTACATCATGAGTCTTGGCGACGCATCCGGGATGCATGCGACGAAAGAAGAAACGGGTCGATAGAGCAAACATCGTTTTGCAGTTGTCTCATCCAGGGTCCGAATCATTGAGTCCCATCTCCATCCGAACATATTGACACCCGCTGTCATAACGTGGTTAAACATACACCATGGATGTATCCATGACTTTCAGTTTGAGAAAATACTGCTTAAGGCTTAAAGTGGAAATTCTCAAGTGGTGGGTCGATCGCGTGTTTAGGACTTTCTAGTTTCTCATTTGAAACCAGGATGGCGAATAACGCGCAACGCCTAATGTCCTGATGGAAAATGGCCCAGAGAAACACCGCAACGTTCACTCAATATCCTGGAATGATGATCGTAAACACATCGATATCGAACTAATATATGTGTGATCGAAAAATGTTATCGTCCAAAAGTTTCCTGAGATAAAGTTGAAGGGTCAGACATGTATGGCACAGGTGTGGCTCTAGTTGATCAGTTTATGATCACAATGATTTCACGCAGGTGTCTCGTGGCTCCGACTCATCAACAATATAATGTGAGTAGAGCTTGAGACTAATAATACGTGAATTGATTTCTATAACACAGGATTGCCAATTTGTCTAAATATTCCCCCGCACCAGGTGAGCCAATCAACAGCGCACAATGTGCACGGTCGGGTTTTCATCAATTGGGATCCACACGAGTACGTTCGTTATTGTCAGCTTGCTTTCTTTTTATCGTGCAAATTTGAAGATGAAGTGAAAATACAAGATGATAGCTATTAATCCAACTTCTCGTAGAATGTTCTCTTGTCTGGAGATTCGTAGGGCCGTCACCCAAAATCACGATGTTAAAACAGGAATGACCCTCAGACCCTTCGAGAGAAGAAACCAGTGCACCCCAATATCAAGTTTAACTCAATAGAGTTGTAATGTACAAAGTCATTTAATTTGATGTGAGTGGTTTCCGAATCCGGCCTAGCTCCTCAATCAAGAATGGGCTCTATGAGACAAAATAGGAAAGCTACTACAACATTAGTCGAGATCTTGAGACTATCTATGGTGGAAAATGCTTAGAAATTAATTGATCAATAAGTAGCTTAGTGTTGGTATCTTAAATTTGGGGCTTCTTCAGAATGCACTAACCACATAGCTCCAAAGACTTAGGCTGAATCAAGATAAACAGATCCTCGTGTCTCCGCTAATGAATCACTTGTATCGGTGGACAGGTCAAGCTAAGATGGACAAAATTGTGGTTTGAGTTTTGGAGTGCCAAAACTGCGCACTTTAATGACATATAAATGCACCAAATAGCAGGAAAAGGACTGTAGATCTATCTGCGGTTTTCCCTACGGGCCTTTGAGTCTGATGTTCTCCCAGGATTAAGTTCAGCCAAAATTCGCCATACTTGAGAAATTTACCGTGAACAAGATGACATATAACTTCGAAGCGGGAGATTATTCTCAACACCTGTCAGTAGTGTTCCCTCCGAACCTCCGGCTCTCACTGCAGAGTCTGCAGAGCCAAGATTGAGCAACAAAGTCCTCACTTCGACGAGGTTTCCCAATCACTTTGGCCGTCTGTATCGTCTTCATCTCTCAACACATCCCCTATCACCATTATCATGAAGCTAACCACCATCAGATCAGATAGTGGGGTCGGAGCCCTTCTTATCACCAACGCTTGATCATGGAGGAATAGCCATCCGATGGTTTTCCGGAGAGCACCCAGCACCCGATATGGAGATGGCGTATTGGATCAAGTCGACCTCGACTGTTACAAAGAAGGGAGACATAGATGAATATGCGCACCTCATGTGGTCCCGGTGTCTAGGCCTCGCCTGGCTGGGGCTGCAGGTTTTTAGTGACTTTTTTCCCGCGCACGAAGTTTCCATTGCTACTATTTTTTTTTTTTTTTTGGGGGGGGGTGGAAGGTTCCGTGAAAAAGGTGGCTGGATTCCACGGGTAATTACTGAGCTAAATGGCTATTCATCATGGGCAATATTTCAATGATGTTTGAAGTAACAAAAGAGGATAAGAGCACTTTACAAGGTGTGGCCAAGTCCAGAGATGAGCTCAATGTGCTAGATAGTCATAGACTCAAGTAGTAAAATAAAAAACATCAGATCACAATATGTTAACTCTACATCCATTCGAGAAAGCAAGTTTTTGGCTTGTTTGATTCCATCTAGCCCATGCAGGTGTAAATAGCTGTAATACTTATAGAAGAGGAAATTAATTTAGTAAAAACCATCGTAGTCCTACCTGTCTCATGTCCTCTAATTTTACAGATCTCATTACAGGAAGTGCGCTTAAAATATTCATCCAGCGTCTGAAGTTCTAGCGGTGGGTCAGGTAAGCTACAGACCTAAACAATATTTGGATTGAATGAGAAAAATGTTCCACATAATTAGGGTCTAGGCAGTTATGTACCTCTAAGCCATATTATATAGTATCTGAGAAGAGACTGCAGAGTAAAAATGAGCGGTGGTCAAGCAAGATTTCATACTAAACAGTGTGTTGACCCAGCGAGCTTAGAGGATGTGCAAATAACTATGGTACTTACCGATATAGCTTCTCTATATAGTCTAATCATTTAAAAGTACATTACAATCAGCTAGTATTCGTAACAGTGTGAATTCCGTCCTAACCTTACTCAGATTGATTCATCTTTTGATTCACGGCGTTCTACACTTCTACAAGCTGTAACTGTTCAACCTAGTCTTTAGGTAGAATACATTTTGTAACTATCTCCATGTCATACAGACTTTCCATCATTGATGCAAGAGACTTATCAAATGTCCGTCAAAGCACCTGAGCTCTTTCAAATGCCCACTACGGCTACACCATCATCATATGTTTGAAGTTATGTGACAGATATCCACACCGGAATCTTGAATCAAAGACCCCATAGAGCCTCCATTGTTGCAAATAAGAGTTGATATCGATGTGTTCTGCTCTAATATAAATTGTGACACTGCTTTGAGTTCCGATAAGGTTCCGACGCAGAAAATATTAGACCTCGATCATACCCAGGCAAGTATACTATGATAGGTATAATCATGTATTCATTTAGCTTATCTTTGTTGTAAAATATTCGAAATAGAGACAGTAATTTTGCGTAGATTGGGTGAGAAGAGACTGAAAAGGTTAAAGTTGATGGGGCGTTTTGATCCTTCGAAGTAAGGGCCAAAGAGATTATAAGGGCAACTCTACAAATACTTGGCAGATCTTGTGCATAGCTCGTCATCACTTGAACTACAAACTACCATCATCTGTAATAAGGCCAATCGTATTTTCCGCTCAACTTATAAAGATTTAACTCCCTTAACCAAGCATATAAACAATCGGGCTCATCAGAAGATATTTGGAGAATTCGACGGGATCATACTTGGTCGTGGTGAACATGGCAAAATGGATGCTTCGAAAAATCATCGATAAAAGTTGATCTTGCAACCATGAGCGAGTCATTAGATGTAGGGTGCCTAAATTCAGATCGATTTCGCTCTCTATGTGTCTGAGGTAAATATCTCCACCCACCTATGTGAGCAATTACAGGCAGGAAAAGTGACAATATACAAGCTATATGTCTGTTTACTATGTGCTTACTCTACACCGACCTAGTGGGTGGCTAGTCTTGAGGCCTAGGGGAACTCATGATTTCACTCATATTCACGGAATGGATGAGAGGACTGATCACGATAGCTGTTCGCATGGGTGAGTCAAAAAATAAAGGTCAATATTCTGTAAAGTGAAGGAACCACAGGAGTTACAAAATTGAGTATCTACTAGGTCTTACATAATTTACTCCTAAATTGACTATTGAACGAAGTAAGTGAATAATAATTACAAGCGGGATCGGATAAGTCCGTTTCTGACCCTACTAGACCCTAAGCCTGTTACAGCCTATTTTTTATCTACGAACAGATTTTCTGCTCTGACATCTTTAAATGAACAAGAAATTTCCAAGTGCCGAGCACCCGCCAGAGTAACAACAAAATTTATTTGCTTTTCAAAGTTATCTCCATCATTCAGTAGGCCGGCCCTGCGAACAACATGGTCGACTCATACTGTGAACGAGGCGACGATCAAATGTCTCGAAGGGACGGATATTCCTACCGTCCACTCTCTGCTGAAGGAGCTAACTCCAAGACCATTCCGCTGTTCCATCTGTCCTTTAGGACGAATTCGAGTCGTCGTTCCCAAGGAGTATCTCCGTGCAAATATTTTGCATACCATGTTTCACATTAGCGCCAGCCCTTGGCCGCCCAACCCATCCTACACTCGGCTTTTCTCACACCCCATGTTTCGACCGTGACGGCAAGGAAGCATTGGAATTTTGAGATGATGAAAGAACAGAATGATCAGGACCCAAGATGAGACCACTGCAAAACGATGTTTGCTCTATCGACCCGTTTCTTCTTTCGTCGCATGCATCCCGGATGCGTCGCCAAGACTCATGATGTAAAGACGGAGTTGGTGATGGGACTCTTCAATGTCGTGGAGTTTGGATACACAGCTGGCCTATTGATCTCGCTATAAGAACAGGACCATCTTCAACCTCTTCTGCTCTCCAGACTACATCTCCATCTTCAAGCATCTCTACTAATTTGCTATAATTGCCACATTGTGCTTTATTCTCTATTTTCTTAATTCATTTTCTAATAATCCATATTCTCATATCCTCGTTCTTGCCGGTCAAGACTAATTCTACACTATCTCAATAAATTAATTACTCGAAACTCTCAGTATATTCAATATTTTCAATATTTTAATCAATCTCATCGATCTCAAAAATCTCAACAATCTCAACAATCTCAACATGCTTTACCAATCTGTCCTCGTCAGCTTCGCTTTCTCTCAGCTCGTTGCTGGTCACGGTGCTATCATCAAGGCTGTTGGTGACATGGGAGGCAGCGGTACAGCCATCGGCAGTGAGTATTCAAATCCAAAATCTCTCGCTCAATCACTCCAGCCTTCTCCAATATCACATACTCCATTACTAACACTCATCTAGTTGACTCTGCTACACCCCGTGACGGAGCGACGCGAAACCCCTTCCAGGCCGATGCCACTCGCTTCAAGAACAACAACGTAGACGCTTGTGGTGAGACCCTCGGAGGCGGCCCGAACGATCCCATGACGGGAATGGCCAAGGTGGTGTCCGAGTCCAATGGAATGCCCATGATCTCGGCTGGAGGCATGGTCATGATGACTCTGCACCAAGTCAACGGAGATGGAGCTGGTCCCTACTCGTGCATGATCGACTCTACCGGCATGGGAACAGGTGGATGGACCAAGATGGAGGTTGTCGCCAATGTTCCCGGCAAGAACTCTCGTAGCAAGGCCAAGGCCGAAGACTTTGTAAGCATTGCCCGATCTATCCCCTTCCTTCGTTTCATGGCCCGTGACACGCAACACGTGACACGGGACAGGCGACAAGTGACAAACTGCCAGCTTTCTAGAACTGAGCTAACCGAGACACACTAGCCCCTTACGGCCAAGGTCGCAGCAGACCAGACTTGCACAGGAAGTGTTGCTGGTATGGACAACATCTGCATGGTAAGATGCAATAACCAAGCCAACGCCGGACCATTCGGAGGCTGTGTGCCCGTGCAAATGATGAGCCCAGGAGCAGCTGGTGGAGACAAGAACTCTACGACCGAGGCAGCACCCAAGGCAGCAACTGAAGCAGCACCAAAGGAAGCTGGAAAGGAAGAACCGAAAGAGGCTGGAAAAGAAGCCGGAAAGGAAGCTGGAAAAGAAGCACCAAAGACAGCCAGAAGCTTCAAGGCATAAATGACGAGAGAGAATATTACGATGCAACTCTCTGTATATGAGAACCATCTGTCATCACTAGATAGTTCAGCTTTTTTTCTATCCTTCTATACCTTCAACTTTTTTATCTAATCAAACTTTTAACAAAGTAAAAACAGCGAGTCTTGATGCTTGTGACATTTGAAGAGATTCAAAAGGTCGATGATTGACTGTGAAAAGTAGATTATCTAGTAGAAGCTTTGACTTTTAATTTTGTCTCACCTAGACCAAGAGACCTTTTGAGCTTTGGCTCATTCCACAAGGTTCAGATTGCCGAAAATAGAGACACTGAGCATTGGAATTTCTAGCTCTCCTTCTAGAAACCTGTCAGCGTGTGTGTCATGTATTGAAATTATTTTGAACTGCCACAGGTTCGACCAGTTGTCACGGTTCGAGTGTCGATGCTGGAGCAATCAGATTTACGAAGGTGGTTTATAATTTTCTCTATGGCTAACTATCAGAGTATTACTTCAACTATTTATACATTTATGAAGATCTTTAGAATATTCCTTCTTGACTGATATCTGCTTCTCGTATATTCCAGTCATAGTAGTTCCCAGTCTTGCTACCAATACGAGAATATTCCAGTTACAGCTGAACTGATCTAGAATAAGGCTAGACTATTGTAGAATTATAGAAGCACGTGAATTAATCATGTGCCACAAAACAGTCGGTTCTTTTTTTTTGCATCAGATTTTAATTGCGTATGCAGCTATCTAGCTATGACACCATATCAGAGAAATGTACAGAAAAGATGACTCAATTTACAAGAGGAGCACTCATGCCTCGGATTTCATTTGCAGGTACCACTGCGAAGTTATGGTGGCATTTTCTTCACCCCAAGTCAACCCTCATCCGTGAATACCCACCTAGGGGAACTTCTCAAAAACCCTGAGTTAGCCAGACATGCCTCCATCATCTCTCAACTTTTCTCCGCGCGAAATGTGATCTGAGATGTCTCCTTCCCAAGTGGAGTAGGTGCCCAGGCTGCTCAAACTATACCGGAGAATATCACCAGGAGGTGGATCACAACACCTTCCATCGTTGGCTTGTTTTTATAGTGTCAGCTGCACTCTCGTAAGCGAAGTCTTGGCGCGCACAAAGCGCAATTCGTAAAACTCTTTCCAAAAATTCGAAATTTTACGCCCGACGAAAACGTATCCCTCTTCTGCATCATCTTGTAAACTTGTCTTGATCCCTCTCACGTCCATCCCAAAGAGCTATCTCCCAAAATTGTGCTCCACGCTTTGCTTCCTCCGTCGGGTGTAAATATCGGCGTGGGCGTGTATTTGGTGACCGGCTGAGGCCAGAGAAAGTCGACGAGAGGTGTGGTCATTGAAACGAGGATGTACTAGGTCGTACTTGTAGACTTGATGAAGCTTAGTTGAGAATCGGACTCTTTGGGAGTGAAAGATTGACATGGTCGAGTAATTTGAATTTTTTCCTCGTGGGCCAACTTCTTTGATGTTGCGAAATTTGACTGAACTTGGCTCTGGGAGAATATTTCACTCCCAGGTTATTATTATTATTATTTCATTTTATTGTCCTGTCTGAGTCTATGACTATGTAGGGCATGCAGGTCCTCTCTGCCTACAAGCCAATGATACCTATACCAGTAGCATATCCCCTCCTATGCCTCCCATACAGCTCCCCTCAAACAGTACCACCCCTCACAAGTCCTCATTCGATCATACACTTAGAGGAGCCCTTAGCCCTTCATTATCTCCCCTCTCCAGCCAACAAAACGATGGCCGTTTGCGGGTGTATGGCAGCCGGAAAAATTCGCAAAAACCGTTGGGTGCGGGGCTCTTCTATTACCGACATTAAGACTAAATCCGAATACATAGTGCCCCTTCTGAAGCATTCGAAGAGGCCGGCCAGCTGGGCGCTGCAGACTTGTGGGTACCTCGGGAAATTCACTTTCTACCTTTCTAGCCTCCTTCCAACTCCTTCCCGAAGGTCGTGCTGAAATGTCAGAAATGTCTCGACAGAGCGTGATTGCTGTATAGTAGCTTAGCCCAAATTCTTTTGGACCGTCCAGGGCGCTGGGGAGTGCCGTTGACTCATTGACAAAAGAAGTCCTCCTGGCTAATTAGCCGAAATCTCGGTCCTGGTGCCCACAAAAAATCCAAAGTTGAAAACTTCTCGAAAATGTCAGTCTCAGCATGCTCTTTAGAGTCCTGTTCTGCCTATCGCTCCACATCTTAGGCGCCCATTCTCCCTCAAGTTGTGTGTTCCATTAGAGCAACAGTCCCCTCTAAGCCATGACCCAGGCTTTGTATTTTTCAACTTGATTTCCTCCTTGCGGGTATGAATAGCGTCGTAAATATGTAGTGAGAGATGGCTGAAAATTAATGGAGCAAGCTCCTGTATGCAATTGGAGCAACTTCTTTATTGGTCGTCGAGGCGAGATGATGCGTGGTTAGAGAGTGTCTGAGGACCCAGAGCAGTAAAGTAAGAGAGGCATTGTCGAGAAGTCGTCAAATGGAGATGTGCATGAGGTTGCTTTCGACTTCGATTCGGATGCGATTCTTCTTGGCTATCCCAGATATGCAGAGCCTACTGAGAGTTTACACCGGCACTACTGGAAGGCGAAGAATTCGTCTTTGCCGGCTCACTCCCAGGTTCGTAGAGGACACTGCGAACAGTTGTTCAGTCTTGCCCTCCAATAACGCTACTCATGCAGATCAGTCGCGTGGAGAAAGTTTGTACCTAGATGTTTTAGTCCATCTCACTCTTGTGAATACAACACTATCGCTTCTCATTCTGTCTGACCTCCTTCCACTGTGCTAATTCCCTTGTCTTCTCTACAGACATACAGCTATAGAAGACCTCCCAGTTTAATAGAATATCTATTATTCTATCTGACATTTCCACAATACCCCCTCATTGACGTTACAGGACGAACGGAATCTTACCTGAAGTGAGCCTACACAAAAAGCGTTTAGAGGTTTATCTGTTCCCGTAGTTTGCACACCTGTATTGAGAAATCGGCCCTCCTACCAAAATCAGATGTTGTCGTGACTCGTGATGGGAGTGCTTAAAAATGCAGACCAGACGTTTCTTCGATGCTGTGACGGAAACCGAGTTGATGATGAATAAGTCGATTTATTAAACTATATGAGGAGAGAAGAGAACTCTAGCTACAACTAACAGGTACTTATAATGACTGTTCCGCTGCGTGTATCTACTAACTGGTGGCTTTCCTCCAGACATCATACTCGCTAACTAGCCACGTATCTTTGGGTGTTACTTAGTTGTAACAGCGATCTAGCGTCCTGATTAGTATTATCGTTTCGTCTAGTTCCATCTTCCCCTCTCCGTGCGACCTAATTGTAAACAATCTAAGTACTACGCTTAGGTATCCACCTAAGCTCATATAACGGTCAAACCGTGACAGATGCGCTCTTCAATCGCAAGTGTGATGTGCAAAATCTCAAGGCTTGTCAGCGATATCCCCTACGAACCTGGATGGAGTCTTTAGGTAGTTAATTGTGCCACATCAGTCTAAGCCTACTAGCACGCTGGGCTCCTCTGCGACCCAGGCCACATATTATGTGGTGCCCCCATTACCTTTTCATACTTGAGTGATCATTGGTATATTGCCCATTGTGAATAACCATTCAGATGAGTGTATACCCGTGGAATTCGGCCACCTTTTCCACTGAAATTTCTACCCAAAAAATTGTAGCAATGGAAGCTGTGTTCGCGCAAAAAAGTTTTATGAAACCTGCAGCCCTGGCCTGGCGAGGCCTAGACACCGGGACCATATGAGGTGCAAATATTCATCTAAATCTCTCTTCCTTGTAACATTCGAGCCCGACTTGATCTCATCCCGCATCTCCGTATCTGGTGCCGGGTGTGTTGAAATTGGTGCTACTTGGCAATGAAGAGGCGCATTAATACGGAACGTAATAAGGTTCTATTATTACTAGCCACATTCATGACGACTCATACGCTGACCAGCCTCCCAATTATTTAGCATAAACAAGTGAATTGTGTCCTTCACTTAGATGTAGTAATTAGTTTAAATAGCGCTCTGATACTAGGTGGGTTTAATCAATAACTCTCCAATATAATTTTCAGACTCTTCAATCTCCCAACTCGCTTCACTGGTGATATTAAATACAAGCCTAACAGCTTACGCTTCTCTATACAACTTCCATTACAACAGGCTGCACTCCGGAAACTCATCGGATGGCTTCTCCTACATGATCAGAGATTGATGATGAGAGGAACCTCGACCCTGGAATCTTATCTGAGCGTGGTATGCTCCATGGAAGTGGTGTTAGGGGATGTGTTGAGATATGAAGATGAAACAAACCGCGAAAACGATTGGAAATCTTCATCAAAGTGAGGACGTGGTTACTCAATCTCAGCTGCGAAGACTCTACAGTGAGAGCTAGAGGCTCGTAAGGGACATCGCTGACAGGCCTTGAGATTTTGCACATCACACTTGCGATTGAAGAGCGCATCGAAGAAAGGTCTGGTCTGCAATTTTAACCACTCCCATTACGAGTCACGACAACATCTGATTTTCGCAGGAGGACCGAATTCTCAATACAGGTGTGCAAACTACGGGAACAGATAAACCTCTAAATGCTTGTTGTGTAGACTCACTTCAGGTAAGATTCCGTCCGTCCTGTAACGTCAATGAGGGGGCATTGTGGAAATGTCAGATAGAATAATAGATATTTTCAATCAACGAGCAATCTTCGGCTCACTTATCAGAACTATTGGAGTAGATGACTCCAAATTCAGCAGATCGCCAGCTATTCATCAACCAATTCAAAGGAATTTGGCGGCTAGTCCCAGAATATGAAAATGCCTGACTCGACGAAAGCTGGCAATAGTAATGAAGGATATCGGCCTACCCCGACTCCAGCATGAACCGAAGGAGTATCAAAGGCGATATCTCAAAAGTACTGGCTCGATCACTAAAATTAGATAGATCCACCAAATGGAACTCCAAAACCTTTGTTTATCCATGTATACCAGCGCCGCGAGAAAAGTGGTTTGTTTTGCCGGATTTGAACCAGCGATCTACTGTCTCGACTGGGAAATGTGTCCAAGCTATTCAGACTCTACTTGGCAGATCGGCCAAGACGATGTACCACCGCACCATCCAGCCATGGCGGTGTTTAAAGTATCGCCTGCACTCTCGCATCCGAAGTCTTTGCACGCACAAATCTCAAATCGTAAAACTCCTTGCCAAAATTCGGTATCTCACGCCCTTCGAGGTTAAATCCTTCCTTCGCATCATCTTGTAAACTTGTCCTGAGCCCTCTCACGTCCATCCCAAAGAACTGTCTACCAGATTTGTGTGCCACGCTTTGCTTCCATCGGCGGGGGCGTGTATTTGGCGGTCAACTGAGGCCAGAGAAGGTCAACGAGAGGTGTGGTCATTGGGGTGAGGATGTGCTAGGTCGTACCTGTAAGCTTGATGAGGCTTAGGTAGGATTCGATCTCTTTGGGAGAGAAAAATTGACGTGGTGGAGTATTTTGAATAATTGCCTCGTGGGCTAACTTTCATTGACGTTGCGAAATGGGACTGAAATTGGCTCTTGGAGAATTTTTCACTCCCAGCTTCGTAGAAGGCACCGCCTACAGGTGTTCAGTGACTGGGGTCATAGCTGGGTGTCCGGTGAACATCAGATTTGTCGTTGGCATGGCTAAGAAAATGATGATAATTCTAGAAGCGATTGTAAAGGGCAGTGATGAAAGGATTGGAAAGTTCCACTCATCTTGATAGTGGATCTTTTCTAAAATGAGGGCATAATTCCTCCAAAATGATAGCGGAGCGAGATGATTGAGGATTTATATACAAGATGTCGCTCTGTCGCGTACGGGCAATGATCAGAACTTTTAATCTTCACAATCTACCGTCTTTTGTCCCAGCCAATTTTCAAAGCATTCATCACCATGCGCTTCTTCATCATAGCCCTGATCCTTCAGTGCGTCAGCTTCTCCATGGCAAAACTTGAGAGTTATCAAATACCTCACATACCGGAGGAACAGAAAACTTTTAATTGTGATGGCAGAATCTATGATTACATGAAAATTAATAACCTGAGATCCTCTATATCAACATTTAACCTTGATAATTTAGGGTACAGGCACACAATTGGATTTAGTGAGATAGCCAGAGCGCAAGGCATGAATACAGGAGTCATGTATCACGACGAATCAACGACCACCAGACATGAGATCTTAAGGGTTCATTTTTCAGCTGAATGTGAATGTCAATTCCCCTTACAATACCACGCCTAGACTAACAGACCCGGCAGCGACTGGATATATTGAGGACTTCTTCGTTCATGATGATCAATCGCGAGCGTGTGCCTTCATCACCACAACCGTAGGGCGTCCAATTCATCGTAAATATATAGCCGAATCCTGCCATCATCCTCCTCCAATATATAGGTTCTGTCATCTTCAGTAAAGACGTACTGACTGGGAAGTCGAGGAGGTTGTACAGAAAGATATTAATTGTGCTTGAAATCATCATTTTAAAGACAGTGACAAAAGTTTAGACCGTGATTCATAAAAGACTCACGGGGGACGCGGAGAACTAGTCGTGCAGATTAGGCCTGCGCTTCTGGAACTTTTATTTTTCTCGAGCGTTTGGTTCGTTCATGAAGAGCGCAAGTTGTTGGAGGGTTATCGCGGTTTATGAAATGTACCTTGGAGGGCAAGACTAAACACCTGTACGCGGTGTCCTCTACGAATCTGGGAGTGAAATTTTCTCCCAGAGACAAGCTCAGTCGTATGTCGCAATACCGAACAAGTTGTCCCACGAGGCGATGATTCAAAACACTCCACTACGACAATTTTTCACTCCCAACGAGTATGACTTCTTCCCAAGTGAAATAGGGTCCTAGGCTAGCCAAACTAAATGGGAGGTCATCAGCCGGAGACAGGCCACAGCGCCTTCCATCGTTGGGTCTTTTTTAATAAAACCTTTTGATATGTATTCAGCTTTCTAGCTTTAACACATGATCGGTGCTGTGTACACACATTGGATGACTCTTTTGACGTTAGAGACACTCATACTCTGTGTTTGATTTGCAAATTTCACTTTGAGGTATGTTCGCTTTTACCAACAGTCGACTCTCCTCCGTAAGTAACCACCAGAGGGAAATTTAAAACCTTTGGTTATCCAAGCATGTTTTTGTCATCCGTGCATACTAGCGCCGCGAGAAATGTGGTTTTGTTTTGCTAGATTCGAAGCAGCGATCTCCGGCCTCAAGTGGGATAGGTTGTGAAGGGTTTGAAGAGTTCAAAAGTGTAACAGTTCCGATAAATAAAGCTTGGGCGTTCATATGTCGAAAGGTAAGTTTATTTACTAACTGAAGAACAAGACTACTGCTACACTCAACGCCCTATTTATATACATGATTCCAATATTTCAAACACTAGTCTCTGTCCTCTAGTCCGGCTCCCACTATTAAAGTGTGGGCTAGTTACCAACGATGTTTCGTGCACGGGGAGTACCAGACTCTTAATACCAACGTATCTTAGCGCTGAGGTAATAAGTATGCATGAGATGAATATCACAGGCTACAGGCAATCTACCGGCTTACTAGCCGTCACAAAAAGTACTTGAATCTCGACAACTCAATGGTAGTTAGTACTCATTCCTTGTAAAACTAATGTACCGCGTTATCTCTTGTCCTTCGTGTCCTCTGCGGACACAAATTCTAACTCCCTGGCTTCTTTTTTCTGCGGCAACATACTCCCTGTCTAGTACGTACTTCCTTCGATGCCTTGTAGTGCGCGCCCTTCGCATTTCCGAGAGTTCTGCTTTAGTACAGCTTAACTTCCAAGATGGAGCTGTGTGTTGCCGGATCAATTGGTGTCGGTATATAGCAGAGCAAGTCCAGAATAAAATCAGTTAATTAACAAAATCTAGAAGTCAAAAGTATCTCACATCTTGCTATTTACATAAGGGATTTTATTTAACTACGCTAATCATAACAGCCTCCGTTGCTTAGCAACCGTTTCCAATCTCCACCCTTGGTACTCTCCATAGATGACTAAACCTTAGATTCCATCTCCACAGTGCTGGCGCAGACAGTACACACAAATGGGAGTATTCGCGTAACAAGGTGTTATGATATGGGACGACGAAATAGTCGAGGCCAGTGCATATATCACCAGTGTATTGATTAGACGAGCATGTAAATGGTTTTGTAGATATACCCACAATAATTGGATACAGATTGTCACGGATCAGGTATAAAAGCTATGGGCATCTGTGTAGAAGATGGTAGTTTATATCTCGACAAATGATGAGCTATCTAGGGAGTCGGACACGTATTTATACATTTCTTTTCATATTATCCTCGGCCTTCATCCCAGGAATAATCACGGCTTACTGACTTAGATCATTCTAGTAACTTCTCGTCTCGTCCCTGGAAGGATCTTTCCTCATTGCTAGAAAATTCCCACTCTTTCTAGGTGAAGCTCGATCAACTCTGCTCTAGTCTCGAATGTTCCACCAGAAAAATATGCCAGGTAAGCATATCTAAGAATCTACAAGAATATTCCTGATCATATCTCACAGGAGCCAAGAACTGTCTGCGCTAGCCAGCACAGACTACAGGCATTACCCGGTTTACTAACCATCACACAAGTTTCGTCTTCTACGTGTTGTTCGTATACCTACAGCATTATATTGAATGAGTCTTTTGTCCGTCACCACAAAATATAACATCATCCACTTCTCATCACTCCGCAGTATGACATCCGCATAGCCCATCACCACAACAGTGGACCTAGTGACCAGTCCCAATCCGGGCAAAGCCCGTCACATATATATCCGAGCTATCTAGACTACACTTGGAAGACCGGCCAATACAATGTCCCACTGCACTATTCAACCGTGGCGGTGTTTATATTGCCAGCTAACCTCTCTCAATCGAAGTCTTGGCGCGCACAGTGCTTTTCAATTTAGAAAAGTCCTTGCATAACTTCGATATCTCATTCCCGCCAAGTGTGTGTATCCATACTCTGCATCTGGTTGCAAAGTTTTCCTGATTTATCTCACATCAATCCCGAGGAAATGCCTTTCAGATTCTTGTTCCTTGATTTATCCCCTCCGGCGGGAATGAATATGTGCGTGGGTGTTTGCTTGGCCGCTAGCTGCGGCCAGAAAATCGACGAGGGGTGAGGTTGTTGAAAAGAGGATGTACTAGGTCGTGGTTGTAAACTTGATGTGATTTTGGTAGGAGCTAATCTCATTGAGAGAGAACGATAGACATGGTGGAATTTCTTGAATCATCGCCTCATGGTCCAACTTCTATGGTACTGAGAATTTTGAATGAGCTAGGTTTTGCGAGAAGATTTCATTCCCAGGTTCTTAGAGGAGATTGCCGATGGATGTTAGCTCTTTGACTTTCTACTGCAAACTCCTTGTAAGAGAACGGTGCGGCAGCTTCTCGCAATCGTATTTTAATAATTAACTTATTTTCTATCTAGAGAAGCAAGACGCAGCTACAAAGGGTTTCGGCTAATATAAACATGACGCGTCGCGTCGCTCGCAAAACTTTACTAAGCTGAGTCGAGGCTTTTCCCAAAATAAGTATAACGCCTATTCGGAGCCGGATAAACTCCGGTTCCAGATAAACCAAGCCACGGCCTGTAACACTCCTGCTTCGGTTTGCGCTACTGTTTATGTTCTGTTTTGTTCATTTACATGCTAGGTATAGTAATTCCCATTGCACTTCTACTGGAGCTTTAGCACGGGTGGGGCCGGGCCGGATCAGGTTAACAACCGTAAAGTACAAGTGCCTCGTCTCACCTAAATGACTGGACCACCTCAGACTTCACCCATGTGTTGAATCATGTCAAGTCCAACCGTCCAAAGAACCCCCTTTTGGCGCGCCGAAGCGCAAAATTCCTCCTCACCCTCGGCCACCACGCGCCCGAGCCCTTGACACCTTCGCCATCTGTAACTTTTCCCTACGAATCATTCCCATCTTTGGCTCATCTCAGTATCTCCTCGCCTCATCCAGGGGTCGTTTTCTTCACTGGAGGCCTCATCCAGTCGCCCACCAATGCCTCCTCAGTTTGTGTTCCCTTATGGTTCCTTCATGTTGCATCCCTCTATCCTTCGGCCGATATCATCATACAAGAAAATTTGTAGAATGTCCACCCCTCCGGCCTTGCGCCGTCGCTATCGCACCCCTAACCGTGGAGGTCGAAAACGTGACTGAGAGCTCAAGACCGAAGCATCAGTACCCCAGCCTTTGTCGAATGCTCTAGTTGGTGTGCAGGCGAAAGGTCGTGCGTATTTCGTCGGTGACGATTCGTCACAGGACGAGTTGTTGGTGCCCTTGCGTTGAGATAGTACCGACAAATAACGGTCACGGTACCGAAGGTGCAAACCCACGCCTAGCACTGCAACATGCACATCTACTGTTCGCCACCAAGATTCGGGCGCGGGAGCGCCCAGGTAAAAACTATACATGGAAGCGATCGGGGTAGCGACACCATAAGCCCCTGGAATATAAGTGCTAGCCGCAAGGGGTCGGGTACCACTTAGCGTATATGCAACAGCATCGAGTGTACAGGTGTATCTCGAGTGTCACTAAAGGAAACCAGTACGGTCGCCCCTGGATCAGCTATTCAGGGGCGCTCAACTAGGGTACTGAGCTGCGATTATAGGAGCAGTGATGCGACTGGCAAGCGGAGGATATACGAGAGCCGCAGGAGCAGCGATGGCCGCTCATGAACCGTGGATTCATGAGCGCTGGATTGGTAATGTGATTTCTATAGATAGTCAATCACGAGATGGAACTAAGACTATGACATGGGTCATACAGATGTATATAAGATAGCATATATTCATACTTCTAACAGTATCGAAATCTGTCGAACACATCCTCTACATACTCCAATCAGATATAACAAGTGACAAGTAACTATGTTCCCATATGACTCATAACCTTAACACCTTGGCCGAGGTGAGGACGCATCTAAGGCCGGTATATCGACCGTACCTTCACAGCGACTGGCAGTTGCGGAGGGTCAGATATCCTCTTGCTTCTTAGTTGGCGATTTGGCTTTTGGAGGTATGGGATTGCTTAGGTAGATTGTGAGATGATTATGGAGAGGGCCGCGAGATGAGTTTGGCTGAGAATGGATTTCCAGAGAAATAGAAAATAAGATATTGAAGGTGTCAGTTGTTGTAATACGAACATCAGACAGGTTGTAGGCTGTCTGCGGTTCGTACCTGAGGTGTAGATGGTTGATTTTGTTGAGCTGTGCAGTCGTGAGATCCCTGCAAGTCGGATTTTCGACCAAAAATGTGCCGGCACCACTCCTCCCGATCGTCAACTCGACGAAAACTCTCAAATTCACCCTTTATTGTGACTGAATCTCGGCTCTGGGAGAATATTTCACTCCCAGGTTCGTAGAGGACACCACTGACAGGTGTTCAGCCTTCGTCCTCCTTTGCGCTGCTGTGGGGCTCGTTGTTGTAATTGTGCGTCATGTGCAGATTTGTTAGCTTGCTGACTGTTAAGATATAGAGGGAATAGAGTCATCGGGCTAATGATGATATACTGAGGATAGTGTTTGCGAAATAGAGAATGTACAATGTGACGAACTAATGCAGAATGACGGGTGCAAGTCAAATATCGAGGGAGTAGACAGTTCCCATCTAACCAACCATCTGGCTTGGCAGTATTCCCAGTGAATAGTTGTGGAAGTAATGGGTCAAGACAGTGATCTAACTGTGCTTTGTAAGCTCTAGTGAGACGTGAACGAGGACTACTATTAAGGTTTCCTCGTACTAGCTCGACAATAGTACTCCTTACAACACCAGCCCTCTACAGCCGGCAAAACCGATTTCTTCACCCTCCAGTGGTGCAGGTATAATTGCTCTTTATTTTTTTAAATCATTTAATGTGTATTCAGCTATGGAGCTATGACACATGACCGGTGCTATGTATACATGTTGGATGACTCTTTTGACGTTAGAGACACTCATACTCTGGATTTCATTTGCAAATACCACTGTGAGGTATGTTCGCTTACACAAACAGTCGATCCTCCTCCGTGAGTACCCACCAAAGAGAGTTTTATAACCTTTTGGTTATCCAAGCATGCCTTCGTCATCCATGCATATTAGCGCCGCGAGAAATGTGGTTGTGTTTTGCCGGATTTGAACCAGCGATGTACTGTCTCAAGTGGGATATGTGTCCAAGCTAACTAGACTCTACTTGGCAGACCGGCCAAGACGATGTACCACCGCACCATCCAACCATGGCGGTGTTTATAGTGTCGCCTGCACTCTTACAACCGAAGTCTTGGCACGCACAAAGCTCAATTTGTAAAGACTCCTTTTCAAATCTTAAAACCCCACGCCTGTCGAGCCTGTATCCAATCCTCTGCATCATCTTATTAACTTGTCCAGATCCCTCTCACATCCATCCCAAGGGATTGTCTTCCAGATTTGTGCGCCACGCTTTGCTTCCTCCGTCGGATGTAAATATCAGCGTGGGCGTGTATCTGGCGACCAGCTGAGGCCAGAGAAGGTCGACAAGAGGTGTGGTCATTGGAATGAAGATGTACTAGTTCGTACTTGTAAACTTGATGAGGCTTAGGTAGGAATCGATTTCGTTGAGAGTGAAAGATTGATACAGCGGAGTATTTTGAATCATTGCCTCGTGGGCCAACTTGTCCGGTATTGCGAAGTTTGACTGAACTTGGGTGTAATTGCTCAGTATGCTCTGCATATGTGGGAAAGTCAAGAAGAATCGCATCCGAATCGAAGTCGAATGCAATTTCAAGCATGTCTAAAATCGACGTCTTTTCGACAAATGTTTGACCTCTCATTCTCACGGGAGACCTGTACCTCTATCTTACTACACCACCTCGCCTCTAATATCGATAATGACGTTACTCCAATTGCAATCGGGCATTTGCCTCATCAAAAATCGGCCATCTCCCATTACACATTTACGACGCTAAGTATACCCGCGAGGAGGAATTGAAGTCATAATCTACAAAGCTCGGGTCTTGGTATATGGGGGGCTGTTGCTCTAATGGGGCTTCACATCTCGAGAGAAGACAGGCAGCTGGGACGTGGGATGAACGAGTGAAGAGGTCACAAATGTGCATGATGGGACGCACATTTTTCGAGTATTTTCGACTTAAGATTATCTGTGGGTGCAGAAGCAATGATTTCGGATAGTTCAACCGACATTCTAAAAGCTGGCAACGATGGAAGGTGTTTTGGTCCGCCTCCTGGTCATCATTTCCCCAAATTAAAGTCTGGGTAGCCTGGACACCTATCTCACTCGAGAAAGGGAGGACTGTAAGGCCATATCTCGCGCGGCGGCTATATACAATATGACAAAGGCATATTAGGATATCCAAAGGGTTTCCCTGTTTTCCCTTTGGTGGATATTAACGGTTGAGGGAAGGGTGAAAGTCTCTAGCACCAAGGTCTCGAGTGGTATCAGCGAATGCACCTACTAAATGAGTAGTCCAAATGTCAACTAAGCTATAGTCGTCGGAGAAACTAGTCTTCTCCGTGTCATGCTCTTTGAGAGCAGTGTTTGTTGCCGTCACGAATAAACTTTCAATCATTCAAGCTATATTAGCTCAGTAAAAAAGATCTTGGTCTATGCGAAAAGCCCAGCGTTCCGCCAAGTCGGGATTACATGCTAGGTTGGGTCCGCAGGCTAATCCAGACAACCTGTAGTGGGTACACTCGAAACAATGTAACACACTGGGCTCCTCTCTGACTCAGGCCACACCATGTGCAGTTTGTTGAGTTTTTTTGTTGAGTGATAGAGATGAGGTAAAAGTTTGTGGGTCACAATCTATGAGATAATTGATATGTGGATGTTTGAGATGCTTCCTATTGTTGTTGCATTCTCGAGAATCTCTTCTCATTCTTTACTCACAAACGGGATATTTTATTTACAAGTGGGCCAAATCGCTTAGGTTTGGCTAGCGGCTTTCGCCATTCTATTCCTTCTCCCCTGCATGGCATCACGTGCTGTAAAACTACTGCTCACCATGAGGTTCGAGGATGAAACGTGTAAGAATACAACGCAGTGCTTCTGTCCTCTTTTGTTACTTGAAATATCATTAATATATTGCCCGTGATGAATAGCCATTTAGCTAAGTATTTACCCGTGGAATTTGGCCAACGTTTCCACTGAACCTTTTACCCAAAAATAGTATAAAAATTTAAAATAAAATGGTAGCAATGGAATCTGCGTGCGCGGGAAAAAAGTCACTAAAAACCTGCAGCCCCAGCCAGGCGAGGCCTAGACACCGGGTCCACATGAGATGCGCATATTCATCTATATCTCCCTTCTTTGTAACAGTCGAGGTCGACTTGATCCAATCCACCATCTCCGTATCGGGTGCTGGGTACGCTCCGGAAACCCATCGGATGGCTATTCCTCCATGATCAAGCGTTGGTGATAAGAAGGGCTCCGACCCTACTATCTGATCTGATGGTGGTTAGCTTCATGATAATGGTGATAGGGGAATGTGTTGAGAGATGAAGACGATACAGACGGCCAAAGCGATTGGGAAACCTCGTCGAAGTGAGGACTTTGTTGCTCAATCTTGGCTCTGCAGACTCTACAGTGAGAGCTGGAGGTTCGTAGGAGACACCACTTATAGGTGCTGAGAAAAGTCCTCATGATAGTTAGATGTGATTCTGTGACTCAGAGGGACTTCGAAAATCTACTTGAGGAATAACAAACAAGCTTACCATATTTTATTATGTTTATTTCAATATTCAGTCCTCTGGATAGTGAGTTACAAGCCTTATTTTCAATTGTATAAATAGGAATCAGCTAGAACGAATTTATGACACAAACAGGCCTTAGTCGCAGTTAAATTTTCCATTATTTTCTCATGATAGTAATAAAATGTCGACCATTGTTCCACAACAGAATCCACATCGGCCAATAAATGATTTAGTTCAAAGGCTTCTCATGTACGTCTCATGAATTTTCAAAATTCTCATGCCTTATTTCTACGAACGAATTTCATTTGATTTCATTGTCCTGATTTGGCGTCCTATGGGCCCATACAGGTGTCTATCATACTTTCTAATATATGTGCAAGGAGACCTTTTGATAAACACCCCCAAAACCTTCCTGTTTATTGTATTTATTTTTCTAATGTATCTTTCACGAAATGCGGTGACACTATAGCACCCTCCATGTGATTAACCACATCATCTTCATCGAACTCAAGAATGGCCTGACCTATTCCTCTCCCTCAGCAGCATTTAGACCGCTAGAGTGCAGCTGACATTATAAAAACAAGCAAACGATGGAATGTGTTGTGGTCCGCCTCCTGGTGGTGTTCTCTGGTATGGTTTGAGTAGCCTGGGCACCTACTCCACTTGGGAAGGAGACAACTCAGATCACATATTGCGCGGAGAAAAGTTGAGAGATGATGGAGGCATGTCTGGATAACTCAGGGTTTTTGAGATGTTCCCCTAGGTGGGTATTCACGGATGAGGGTTGACTTGGGGTGAAGAAAAAGCCGCCATAACTTCGCAGTGGTACCTGCAAATGAAATCCGAGGCATGAGTGCTCTTCCCTTACGTTGAATCATCCACTCTGTACTTTTCTTTGATATTGTGTCATAGCTAGATAGCTGCA